AAAAAAATCAGTGTTTTCTATAGAAGGGTTTCATGCAGCATACAAAATCCATGTCTTCAGCCTCAGGAACCACCCCAACTATACTGCTGAGTTTCAGCTTCCTGTCCTTTTGAAGTACAAAACATATGGAAATTGTAATTTATACCTAAAACAGGTTTAATAAATAATAAAAACCTAATGATTCTCTAAAGAATAAAATTAGAAAATTCCAGCTCTGTCTACTTTGCATTCATACATAGGGTCAATCCCTGACTGATTGAACTGGAGACAATAGACATTTGAGGATTTGTGGCACAGAAAGTGATATACTTTAGTCTATTCCTAAGCAGGATTCATAAGAATTCATAAAAGAATTCATACAGAGTGCTCTAATAGAAGAGTCAACCCCTGCTATGTTTGACACAGAAGGCAATGATCTATCTTGGTGTCATAGTCATGGATTTAATGAGGCTTATCAGCTCAGGCGGTAGATCAGAAATCATTGCATTAACTGCTCAGATTAATCAAGATGACACTTGCTGAAATCTTATATAGAATAACAGATGCAAAACTGCATCTAATGTGCAGATAGTTTGAGCCTGAAGTGTACAACTTTTAATTAAAACTTAACACAATAGAATTTCAAATACCACATATTTTAATTAGGATTACTGACAAACTTTTAAAATGGAAATTGCCCTAAATTCATCACTGTGTCAAAATGACATAGTAATTTACAATAGCTGTATGTAGTAAAATCTGAATTACTTCAGCGAATACTTTTGCTTGATCTGAAAATGCTCAAGAATTGACTGTCTTTTGCCAACAAATGTTCTATCAAGAGTATCATGTCCTGAGAATAATACTCTTTGTATTGTTCTTATGGTGGCACATTTTGGCAAGAGAACTGGAGAACAGCACCAAAAATTAGCAAAGTTGCAAAGAAGCAACAGAAAGGGCAAGCCATAAAGTAGCTCTAAAAATGAAAAATTAATAAAGTAGTAAAACACCATGTTTTATAAAAACCTTACTTTGAAATGCCAAAAAACAATCCTACATATAAAAAAGCAAATCATAAAACAGATGGTTTATTTTCTATACATAAGTTGCTAACTATAATTCAACATGGTTTTGTTTTTTTAAAAAATGTACCATTTGGAGGCTTTATTGATTTCTGCCAAACTATTGTTACTATTGAAGTTGGTGGAGAAAGCTGCTCTGCATGAGGACCATTTAACAATATTCCATATCTCGTGAAACATTGGCTAAGATGTAGAAATATATTTTAGTGACACCTTTCTTAATTTTCAAAGAAGTTTGCCATGCAGTACGGAGAAAATCAAGAAAATTGCTTTTAAAAAAAGTCCAAAGGGCCATTCTGGGCTAACTGCATACTCTTTTAGATCCTGTCCATTATGTAAGAAAATACAAATTAAAGTTCACAAGCCATTAAAATAAAGGGTGAAATTTAGCTGACAATAATTTCCTTCAAAATCCAAAAGATTGTCAGGGCAAAGATCATCATTGATGTTGCTTTAGCTTCACAAATCTACCCAAGCATCCTAGCATTTCTAAGCTTTAGGGCCTCTTATGTCAAGGATAATGTCCATCATTTTAAATACTATGGTTAAGGATGGTATGAATTCTATACATACCTGGGGCTAGAAGTTGGGAAAAACTGTTTGAGAAAGAGAAAATAAAGTTCATCTTTACCAACCTCTTTAGATATTTAGGTAATTGTCATAGAATTTTTCAGACAAGATCCTTAAAATGGAACATAAGGAATTTTTGTACAAAATAAGCTGCCATTTCTTATGTCTAATATATTAATGTGCAGCATTTAATTATCATGCAGTATTTTCTTGTATTTTTACTACTGCTTAATTTATTGATCAATTTCTAATTTGATTTATTTTATTTTATTTAAATGATACTTTTACATCAGAAGCAAGCGGTAAGTAAAATGTCAGCAGCTGAAACTCTTTAATCTGGCTTCTGGAGGGCCTCAGGAATTTGTCTATTAATGTCATGCCACTGAAAAATGCAGAATATAATTTTCTCTATCTTTTTAAAATTAATATTTAGAAAGTATTTAATAGTGAAAATTGGATTCAGAAGGGGCAAACCCTTCTGATCACCACCCTTCCAGACTTTCCAAAACACCTTAAACTGCCCTTGGGGGAGGCCTTATTTATTTCTTACTTTTATTTTTATAAATTTGTCAAGGCGGCAAACATACCTAATATTCCTTCGACATCCTATTTTTTCCACAAAAACAACCCTGTCAAGTGGGTTGCACTGAGAAAGAGTGACTGGCCCAGTCACCCAGCCAGCTTTCATGTCTAAGGCAGGACTAGAATTCACTGTCTCCTGCTTTCTAGCTTGGTGTCTTAACTACTAGATCAAACTGGCTCTTTTGGATAAAAGTTTGGGAGTTGAGATTTTTAATGCTGAGAATGAGACTGGTTTGATAACCAGAAGGGTCTACTCCCATCCTTAATTTTAAAATAAAACTGGAAAAAAAAATTCATTGTTGTGAAATTTCAGCCACAGTATCTCAAGGTGCTGGGAAGGTGTGAATGAACACCTGTATTAAGTTGACAGGCTTGATAATAACGTTGCTTAATAAAGTGCAAAAGTAAAATTATGTAAAGCTGTTATTTTTGTAGATTTTATTGGTCTCATGTAGTCCTAACCAAATGATACTCAAGAAATAATCTTATAACTCTGGGGTGTCAAACTTGCAACATCACGTGATGTGTTGCGACATAACGTGACTTTTTTTCCCCATTGCCGGCAATGGGGTGGGTGCGGCTTTGGCATGACGCCTCCGACCCGTGGGCCAGCAGTTTGACACCCCTGTTATAACTTGTTCATAAGCCTGTCTCGATAGAGATTTGTCTATCAGGATGTCAAGCAAAATATAAAATACTTTGAAATGATTGTTTTCAAGTATTCTCTTTATATTTTTGTTATTTTTGTCTTAATCTACCAGAAAGTTCTTTAAATAATGTTACTATTATACTCTGCTTCCTGAAGGGACTATGCAGTTTAATATTGCCTCTGTAGTATAGTCAACGGTATTATAATGTGCTAGGTTTGAAAGCAGATTGTAGTCTTACTTTTTTTGCTACCTACTGGCCATTTTTGCGTTGCCTTTTGTCAGCTATAACATCCTGCTGTGTTTGAGTGGCAGAAGAAAGAAATTAAAATTAATGATTTCATTCTGATGCTCTGAGTTGCAAGTAAGGTAATCCTTCAGAAAGCTTTCAGCTTGAGCATGTTTTACTTAAACCCACTGGTAAGAAGCTGGCTGTTAAGAAGGTTTGTCTTAACTGGTGTCTGTGAAATTGGCAAATAGATTAATATATACTGTACATTGTATAGCTTTTTATAGGAGTTGCTTTTAGGTTTACTTTTGGCATATAAAAGTATAATTCAGAATGAATAACTTGTATTAGGTCCATTAATAAGACCATGAAAACTAAATAGTGAGCCTTTGGGAAAAGTGATTATTTAATTTGGCTGATAGACAGACCACAGACAGAAAAAACAGGTACAGGAGTTTTTTAAGATACTATTTTAAACTAAGTGGTATGTGTGAAAACAACATAACATAATCAGAGCAAATGAATATGGAATTTTCATTATTAGGAATCTGAATTTGATTGGGTTTGTAAAATGTAAAATACGTGAAATAAGCCTTACATGCCTAGTTTGTTGTTTACATAGCATTTTGTTTTATAAAAAGAAAATACTGCTGAAATTGGCAGAGGAGTCCAAGTGGTTTCAGGATAAAAGGCTGGGGTCTCCAAGCTATCACCTGGACCAGATTTGTTCATGTTGTTGTGGTGTATTAGGTGTTTCAGTTTTGTTTGTATTTGTACAAAATATAAAATGATTTATTTACTTGATATATGAGTGCTGAATGGCTAACCAGCTTCAGATCTTTCCAGTAACTATCTTTTGATGAGGATAATGTAGATGGAGATATCCATAGAGTGTAAAAAAGCATATCTTGTTGTACTGTGAGTAAACATGAATGCCAGTGCTCATGTTGGAGCCCAAGAAGTGGACTCTGCCTGTGTCTGAAGTTGTGTTTTGCTACAAAAAAATAAAGGAAATAGGAAAGTTTCTGGGAGAACAAGGAATACACCACTGACTGAGGCTACTCGCCTCAGTGTAAGCCCTCATTTAAATGAGTTTCCTACTAGTGTTTTACAGACAAAAAGAAAAGCAGAGAAAATATTAAAAATAACTTACTTTTCCATAAGAATTTAGTTTTGGGAAAAAAGAACTAAAGAGTTGAATAATTATTGACTTATGGAAGAGTTTTGATTAAAGCTTTTTGCTCATTTTTCCATTATATTTATGCTCTTCTGAATAATTTTCCTACTGATTCAAATGATAGCTCTATGTCAGGTTAGTGAACATTTTATCTTACCTGCAGGCTGTATCTTGGTATTGGAAGTATATGAAAATAACACATCTGTGGTAGTACAAATTAAACACGATTGAACTGGAATAGATTTCCTTTCCTTTGAAATATGTATTTCTAAAAAATGGCAAGTTGTTGGATGCAAAGCTGTTGTTTGGTACATTAAAAATGATAAATAATTCATATTTTTTAAAAAAGAAACTCTGCCTTTATTTTGTATGTCATCCAAGCATACATGAGCAAGGAATAGAAACTGTTGGAGCATTATAGATTAATATACTTCTGTGGTTCATAAATCTAAGCAATCACTGATTAGTATGCAGAGGGTTTTGATTCAGTTTCTTTTGACCTTAAATTCCTTAAGTCTAGCTTCCTAACACTGCTAGGAATATGAGAAAAGCTGCCTACTTTGTGAATCTTGAGACAGAGATCATAAAGGTGTTTTAAATTCTAATGTTGATTACAGAAAATGATTAAAATATAATTATCTGTGCATAAAAGTTATAAGAGAAATGGAAAATAATAGAAAATCAATTGTTTTATTGTATCTTTACAGATCATATTTTTCTAGGAAAACAAGAGGAAAAAAAAATATGCAGTATCTCTGAAAAGTGAGCTATGCCCTATTCTGAAGTTGCTGAAAAAGTAGGGCCATGAATCTGAAACTAACCTATGTATCTGTACTGGTGTTTGGAGTAGCAGGTCTAATTGTATTGACATATCTGCAAACCTGCATTGAAGATCAACATGCAGGTAAAATAAATAATACTATTAATAACTTTGTTATTTAAATTATAAATATCTGGAAATTTCTTCCATAGGCGAAAAAAGGCATCTAGCTTTGACATTGAGGGAGATTGTATTGTTTTTTAAAAAACAGATCTGGAAATACATGCTTGAATTTCAAGAAAGTTGAATTTAGTAAGCTCAGAAAAAAATGCTAAACTGTATTCTAGAAATAAAATATGTATCAACAGAGAAAAGAATCCATAAAAAATAACGAGGAGGAATCATTGAAGATACAATAACTATTCCAAGAAAAATAGGAGGCATCTAAAGTGATTGCATCAAAAATGGGAATGAAACAATCAAGAGATATTTAAGAAATTAATTGAAGGAAGATCATTAAGCATAAGTATTGCTTAGCAATCTATGTGTCCATAAAGCTGCTCCAATATATTCTGGGATTAACAATTGCTACACAACCTGGGAGAAGACTCATTTGGTTTAAGAAGCTGAAGGCAGGTTTGTGCACCTGTGTGCAGGGAGGTATCTTTTTGCCCTTGAATTGAAAGCAGACATAAACTTCAGTGGGAGTTAAACAGGGCAATTTGCCAAAAGAGACTCAGGTCAACAGCTTTAATGAGTGAACTGATACTATCCATCAATTCTCATTTGATGATTTGCATAAATCAATATTCCCCCCTCACCCAATACTGTGTATTACAAAATCTCATTTTATTGGGAGATACTGGAAACATATTGAAAAAATAACAAGGCTTCATAGATCAATAAAGGAGACAATATATAATAATAGACCCAATTTGTAATTATCAGTTATGGAAGACTTGAATCTAGTCTTAATCTCCAGAATAGAATACTTTTTTGTTCACTTTAATAACTCTTGTTCTTTCATTTTTTAAAAAAAAAAATTTCTCTTAATTTTTGTCAATCTCATAATAGAGATCCTTAGAAACATGTACATCCATATTGTACATCCATTTAATATAAGACTGCAGCAAGTACATATGTGATTAAATATATGTTAGCTCATATTAAATAACATGGACTTTTGAGAAAATCTAAATGACAACCTAAAATCTGTTCAGAAATTTAATTCACTTTCAGAGTGGAGGAAATATTCACTTTTCAGCAGCATTCAGAGTGGATTGAAATGATGAACAGAGTATTGTAGCGTAAGCCCCTCTTTTGACCACAAATATGCAGTGGATGCTATTGGTACATTATCTCAAAATGATTGTAGAAATAGGATGAAAGCCAGCATAGACCTTTTATTATTCCAAATGATTATTGTATCTCTGTTTAATTATCTATAACTAAAAATTCATACACAGTTGAATATCAAAGAAGTCCAATTGAATAAGTCATTTCGGTTCTTGCGGGTTTGTGGATTTTTTTGGTTGCACTATGATACATCTATCTTACCTATGTATTTAATTTAAATATATTCATATTATGATGCCTTCATATAGTTATCTGAGCAGTGAATATAATTGCAGCTGGCTAAATGGCAAACAGTAAATATAAGCTTGTTGCACATTGCAGTTTCCCTAAAAGAGGCTATTCATATTTCTAGCTAATAAGAATAATATACCATATTAGGAGAATTAACTTTTGCTGGGAGTGACAAAATTTCAGATCAACCCCTTCAAAAACAATACATTTTCAGCAAATCATTAAGCAATTTTTTTATTCATTTTTTTAAAAGGGAGGCAGATTGTCAAATCATTAACTTCCTAAAGATTTTTGTTGTGAGATAGCTGCAGTTAGGAAATGCGTACAGTCAAAAGCTCTTTTTCTCTGTTATACCTTACTCAGAATTATGTTTACACCTGTACATTCAAATTATAGTACACTGATAATGATAAATTAAAACCGTTATGGTTCTGAAGGGTATGTTACAGACCTAGTCTATGCTACATTGTGTAATAAGATTTTTTTTCTGAAACAAGTCAATTAATCACCATACATACAACAACAAAATACAGAATGCTCCAACAATACCAAGGATCTTTTTTATTATTATTTTGGACTTCCACAAATATTATTTTTAACCCTTGCGCAGATAGGCAGCATTGTATATTTGATTGTCATTTGACATCAGTTACAGATTGAATAAAATTGAATTGAACTTTATTTGGCCAAGACACACAAGGAATTTGTCTCTGGTACAGAAGCACTCAGCACATGAAATATATTATGTCAGCCAGAATTTGAAATACACTTACAAGTTGATTTCCAAGGTTCCTTAAAGTATTCTTCGATTATAATACTTTCACCAAAAAAATTTAGTTTCACTTCAGCTTGAAAAATATGTCATTAAACTCCCTGTTATGTATAGGTTGTTCTTAAAGTGATTATAAAGAAAATAGTTTACAGAACAAATACATTTATGCTTATATATTTATAAATATATAAAATATATTTATCGATTTAGGGATTCCCACTGCCATTTAATCCAAAGTGATGAAATTAATTTAATAACAGTAAATATGGGCAAAATTAGTTAAGTGCTGGTTTAGGAGCAGGAAAACCCAGTCCTTCCTTATTTGGAACTTGGAAGTGGCTGCATGATGTTGGACCAGTCATTCACTCCCAGCCCTAGACAAAGAAGTCAAAAAACATCAATCTACCAACCAGCCCTGTATCAGGATAGTAGATGATGCTTTATAATCTTCAGTGAAAAGGACTTTATTCTTCACTGGATTGATTTGGGCTGATATTACTATACCAATGCATATTGCAATAATTGTGCAAGAAAATTCATATATGTTATATTTAACATTTCTATCTATTTCATATGCACATATACATATATATACATATATATATATACACATACATATAATATACATAATATGCTCCTACCACCGGTTATACATGAGCACAATCAATTCTCTCTCAGTGCCAAATCCTGGCCTAAATCCCAATAGACCAAAAGAGTCTGGATAATCATCCAGGGTCCTCTGAAGTTACCATGCAACCATACTCTCACCATCTTCCTCAAAAAGGAATATTGGAAACTGGATGAAAAGTATCCAGCTTAGTTGGGTTGAGTGATGGTTCTTTGAGGAGGGGTCAGAAGGACTAAGACAGTGGTGGCGAACCTATGGCACGGGTGCCAGAGGTGGCACTCAGAGCCCTCTCTGTGGGCACACACGCTGTCGCCCCAGTCCTAGGCCTTCACCTGGGTTTTATAAAACCTTTTCACTTTAGGCCTTCGCTGCTGTTTTGCAAAAAAAAAAAAAAAGGTTCAATCAATCAGTTAATTTCAACTTCTCGGGGAAAAAAAAAAGATCTTGCAAAGTTGGAATTGATTGATTGAACTTTTTAGTCCCACCCAGTCTGCTGTTACCACTGCAGCCATGCCCACCCAATGGGCCACACCCACCAATGGGTCACCCCCCAATGGGCCATACCCAGCCAATGGGCCACGCCTACCTGGCACCCGATGATGCATAAGTGGGTTTTGGGTTGCAGTTTGGGCACTCGGTCTCTAAAAGGTTTGCCATCACTGGACTAAGAGATAGTCACTGGGTGACTGTTGGCGGGTGCAATAAGGATGGAGAAATAATTGCATTTCACTGCCACTTATTTCCACAAGGTAGGCCATAATAGCAGCTCTAGCTCATATCTGGTCATGTAGCTTAACTTGTTAACTTCTAAACTTTCTTTTCTGTTTCTGTCTCCCTCCTATCTCAACCTGGCTCTTTCTTCCTCCCTTTTGTTGTCTACAGGAAGCAGAGATATGAACGTGGCCATATTGGTATGTGGGTGTTTTTTTCTGTGTGACAGAGAGCTGTTGTTACATGCAGTTAATTACTATACATCGAAGAGCTAGTTTAAATGTCTGCCGAGACATTCCCCTTCTATATTTTTACAAATCCTGCCCCCACACCCCTTCTCTCTTTTTCTCTTTGCTCTTCTGGTGTGATCTTCCTTTTGATTAAATATGATAGTAGTTTTGATACTAATTTAAGCAAGAAACTAATTCATGCTTATAGAAATGGAGGGGTGGTTCTTGTATTTTGTTTTCACTACATTTTGTATTTTTTAAATTTCTTATTTTTGTGTGTTATGATCTGGACCCATTCTTAACTTCTCCCATTAATCAAAACTAAACATCTTATATTCTATACGTTGCATTACTTATCTTCTTGCGGCATATTTTATTTCTCTGTCACTTATATATTGAAATTACTTCTATTATATGTTTGTCTTCCTCTTTTTTTTTTTAAAATTTACTTAAAAGTTATTTTGATACAATTTTCTATTTACCATTTTTTCTCTGTGTAACAGTATATTATTATTTTCTTTTCTTTTAATCTTACAAACCTCATTTTCATCTCCCCTTCAACTCTCTTCTTCCTTTTTTCTTTTTACAGATGGTTAAACTAGGGATAGGGATCTTCGTATTTTTTTTTATTAAAAAATCCTGCACTGTAGTAGATTAGAAGTAGTTTAATAAAATTATCATGAGAACATGGAGGTTGTGGGAATATGTCCTTATGACTTTCATTTCATTTAAGAATGACTGCTGAGGCAGATCAGAGGTCCAATTTAGGCCAAGTTTATTTTTTCAAACAGCAAGCCCTGCAGTCAGATGTCAGAAAAACCAGATTATAAGGTGGTCATAATGCCAGAGATATTGTCTGCTTGTGGGTAGAAAAACTATTGCTTTTCCTCAGAACTTCGATGCTGGAGTCAAATGAGATTATTGCATTATCTGTCCTTTCCCACAATGTGCTTTATTATGTAAACAAGCCTTTCATTTTTAAAACTGGAAGGGAGGACCCATCCACATGTTTATTCACTTCCATCCTTAGGATCCATTTTTATTTCTTGTTCCTTCATTTTGTTTTTTCTAGGTGGATATAAGGTTAGAAATGTGAGGAAGGAGAATGGTAGGATAAGAGAAATTTTTGCTGCTGACAATGTTGGTGTCTTACAGCTTGAATTAGTTTGGGCTTCTTGTAAAAATATTCATCTACTCAATATATTATGGAGTAACC